TGTCTGTGTGTGATTGTTTTACAAACGGACAGTTATCGGATGCCTGTTTATGTGTTTGTTTTCCAGTGCTTTTTGTTGGCCCAATGCCCAGAGTTTGTAGCGAAGCCCTCCTTTCTCTTCGTTGCCAAAAACCATTTCGTCACCAAAAAACCAAAAAAAAAAAAATCCAACAACACCAAAATAAATACAATACATAAAATAAAACAAAGCAAAAATCCAACAACAGAAACAGCAAAGCAACAACACGTTTAGAGTGTGTGTATTGTTCTATGGATTTTGTGCACTCATACATAAATCCCCACTCACACTCGCACACATACTCATGCATGGACAAATACGTTTGCCCCTCTTTTGGTTGGTTCGTGGTGGCCATGTCCGTGTTATTACTGGGCGATGTAGGGTCTCTGAAGATTGAAATGCTAGCGGCTGTAATGGCGCTTACGTATGAATGTGAGTGAGAAATGAAAGTACGGCACACAAAACAAAATTGTTGGTGTGGCGTTTGTGTGCCTCCTCTCGCCCTCGCCCTTACTCTATCTATCCCCCTGATTTTTTTTGGTGTTTTTCATTTAATACCCATTTCGTTGTACATGCCATTCAGCAAACCAACAAACGAGCGTCTTAATTAAAAGAGAGGGAAACATAATGAAGTCATGGCATGCATTTAAAGAGCGGTTTTACGTCGCCATACACATACCAGAGAACGCTCACAGCTCATACTCACACATTTGCACGCAAACATGACTTTTCATTCATCGTCAGCCGCAGCCACAGCCACAGTTACAGCCGCACATCAACGACAAAACAAACAGTGGACGTGTGAAGATTTTTGCCGGAAACGGAATATTTGTGAGCCACAACAAACGTTGCATACTTTTAGGGTGCGCGCGTAAAAGTTCAACTACTCTCGTTATTAGTAATTGTGGCAAAACCAAATCGAAAAACTACACTCAAATACACACACACACTCACACAAACAAAAGAAAAATATGAAAAACACGTCGTCATGTCTGACACTCAGTAATGCCGCCTTCCACCAAATGGATTTTTGCCACGTTCTGGTTGTTGGTGCATTTTCATTTATAAAATTTCCAACACACACAGACACACATACATGTACAAATTTATATGTGGTTGGTATCTGTGTGTGTGTGTTCGCGCCCATTCGCTTCAAAGTCAAAACTGTTACCTTTTATATTTGACGTTTTGTAAATTCATATCGTGCCGTCAGCCTCGTGGTGTGATATTGGATTCGAATGAATGGCCATTTTGTTAACTAATAAAATCAAATACGAAATGAATGAAACAAATTTGAATAATGGATACAAATACTAGAACTGATACCTCTCGCGATACCCTGATTGTCCGACATACCAATGGAGATGTCAAATTGAAATATAATTCCATGGATTGAAAAACGGAGTTTAAATGTGAATGGATGTACACAGCGGGTTTGTTACAAATCTGTAATGGTATTTTCCCAATTTGCTAAACAAAAACAAGGGAGATTGGTATTAAGTTGAATAGGGGAGATCTCCTTATGGTCTATGGTTATTTATGCCTATGAGAATTAGATAGCGGGATTACAAATAATCATTGGATACCTATAAAATATTTAATTTCTTGGCGCAATTCGATTTAATAAATTCCGAGACAAGGACAAGTCGTGCCACATAAAAAACTAAAAAATGGATAGAAATAAAACAGATTTGAAATGCATACTTCATGATCCAAAAACACACGAACAAATTGGACCAAAATTAAGGCAATCACGTAGTGGCACATATGACCAAATATATATTGTAAAAAAAATAGGTTAATATACGGATTTATTAGTACGCACGATTAGCAGATATTTGACATATTCGCCAAGTACCTTTTGAGTTATGAGTATTTATTTCTCTACATAGTTGTGGAGAAACACCTGAGAGAGTATGAGTTATGACCTTTTAAAAGTTTAACCCTTTGTTGGCAATGGACATGGTGGAAGGGGCCGATATTGCTACACCTGTCCTAAGTCTGATGCAAATATATCACACCTTTATGCGAGGCCTAATGTAGGCAAAATATTGTAATGTGCGACGTTTAAAGAAAGTCGGACACTGATGTCAAATTTTTGTAAGAGTTATCAATATTCAAAATGTTGATTTCTTGTCGGAAAGATACGAAGAATATGGAACATTTTTAATTTTCATAGTTTGGAAAATTTTTAACTTTTGTTTTTGTTTTGCTTGACACTTGCTCTAATATTGTAATGTGTAAATTTGATGATCATAGTACACTGCTCATTCGTTATCGTAGCATTCTTCTGTACTATGTGCCATAGAAAAGAGGAAGTTGAAGTGATCTAACAACCCCACAAATTCATTGCAGTGTCTGCATATTAATGTACAAAATACAGGGTGAGATAAAAAAACTGCAATAAAGTCAAACGCCATAATTTTTATTTCTGTTTTTAATTTTATTGAATGAATGCAAAACATGTCGGAGATAACATTAAAATAAGAATTAGTTTAGATTTGTTCGAATTGGACACCTTTGGCACGAATTAAAGTCTTCAAATGACCAAAGAAACCGTCACAGGCTGGGCGAATGTTGCTCTGCAGTATTTTGGCCCATACCCGGCGAAGCGCTCGCTTGAGGTGACCGACACTTTGGTATGTTTTAGTGCCAACCTTGCTTTCCAAAATACTCCAGACACAATAGTCCAACGGATTGGTATCCAGAGATTTTGGTGGCGCTTGAGTTCTGGTGACCAACCGAAGGTGTACATTTTCAGCTAACCTCTTTGGCAAGTAAACACGATCATTTTTTTTCAATCTGCTGGGCAACGAATGCGTTCTCATCGGAGAAAACCAATTTCGGCAGTTCACCATCTTCGCCCAAGCGAATCAACTCGTTAGCTCTTTTGAGTTTATTTTCTTTCCGTTGCGGTGTAAGTTCATGCACTTTTTGTAATGTCAATGGCTTTACCCTGAGCTCATTTTGCAATATTTGCCGAATGGAGTATTGCGATATCTTCAGTGGCTTAGAAATTACAGCAGTCTGAAGTTGGTTGCAGTTTTTTATCTCACCCTGTAATTACTTCGTATTTTTACAGTCTGGTGGAGATAATATTAGGAATATGTTTAAAGTTCTAAGAATAATTCACGATTTAATAGACCAGTCAAGGACAGATTATCCGTGTTCAGTCAAAGACATATTATCCGTGTCCCAATTGGTTAGACTACGCTGGACGGTGGCAGCTGTGATCAACTATTACATATTTGGCTGACCTAAGTTGTACATCCCAAAATGAAAAGCGTTAAAATTATACACAAATTAGCATTCTTGAGAATTATAAAACCATTAAATATTCCTAGCAAAGTGTACTGAAAAACAATAACAATAACAATAAAACAATCGGAATAGAAGATTATGTACCTAAATATAAAATGTTAAATTCAGCTCCTTAAAAAGTCGTTAAAATGATTTGCAAATACATACATAATGTAATGTATTTTTGTGTTACTTTGATTCCCTGGCCCGCAGAAATAATATCAATTGGGATTGTTAAAAGAGAAAACAAGGACGAATATTTACAAAAACCCGCAGAATTACTGCTAAGGGTATCACAGAACAACATTCGCTCAGCACACACACACACATACATTCATACGTTGCGGACGCGAATTGCATATTCGAGGGTGTTGCCATGGGGTTGTCAGAATTGTCGATTCGCCAGTGCAAACAGCAAAACAAACTGACTGTTGGCAAAAGTGTCATGTGAAAATAAATGTGAAATGTAAAATGCCTTCAGACTCGAAGTCAGCGGCATGCCATCATAACATACAAATGGAATTGGAGAATATACATACACACATACATACATATATACCATCAGCCAGCCCACACAGACTTCTGACATACCTTCGGGGGCCTTCGAAAATAAAATAAAATCCGTCGCGGCATATTTCGATTTTGTTTTGTCGGATGAACATATTTGGTATTTGAGGGCATTTGTATATATCTGTGTGTGTGTGTATTTTTTATGTTTCACAGATATATCCCATCGTATATTAAAATAAAAAACAATACATATTACTACATAAATACATATACAAAAAATACTTGTGGTATGACTGGTTGTTGCATGTGAACACACACGCCGCCACACCACATTCCGAAATAATCTCGTGGGGAATATTATCGAGGGCTTTCTTGCGAATATTCAAAACTGGCGGTGCTTGCATGCAGAGCTGTCACCACGCCGCGTCACAACGGCAACGGAAGGGATCAGAAACAGGGTTTGTTTTGAAACACAAGCGATTTTGTGACTTCTTGTTCTAGGATTTCTTCTCATTTTTTTGCTTTGTTTTTTAATATCGCTGAGCAAAAATTGTTTCATAAATACTGTTTAGTATGCAGAACTTCGTTTTTTTTTTCGTTTGTCAGTGTCCCCTGGTACATGAAATTTTAGTTACATGTCTGTCATTCTTTCAAATAATACTTAAAAGCAAATTTGTAAACATGTGGAGTCATTCATCATCGTCATCAACATCATCGTCATCATCTGTATATGGGTGGATGTTGTGGTGTCTTTCCGCAAGTGAACATGAGAGCTCTACAGTTGGCTGAGCAACACACACACATAGACACACACCCATAGAATCAAATATTTTCCTGTATTTCTGTTTGCCAACATTCGCGAAAAACGTCAGGAAAACTACACAAAATATCAAATTGATTTCATAATTCGTTTGTTACATTGAATGCTTTAAAGAATCCAATTCCAACGGTTTTTTATTCCATTAGCTAACTCGGATGGGAACAGAGTAGGGACAGTCGTATCATTCATAATCCATGACAGTGCCAATCATATTTGAATTGAACCGGAAATTGTGAATTATCGAGAGTATTACGATAACGATGACGTTTATTTACGGGGAGGAAATAGGTTGCCAACTAACACCATCACATATGTTGTCTCCCATTCGAACATGGCTATAAATTTCACTTACCTGACATCTGGATGTGCATCGAGCATAGCTCTCATTAGCGTTGTCCCTGATCTGGGTACACCACCAATGAATATTAATGGCATGTCTCTGCTGTACGAATAGACTTTTTGGCTGTCGCCTTCGACATATTTCTGTAATAAAAGGAAAATATAAAAACGTTATGAAAAACAACGAGCTACAATCACATAAAAACTCGAATACTTTGCGGACCGACGAAGGGTATTGAATAAACTTTTTCTCCTCGGTTTTATTCTGACAACCTTTAAAGGCAATTTTAATGGTGGCTGTATTCTTATTTACAAATATAATCTCCTATAGGCTATTTTACGTTAGCAAACCACTAAATCCTCCAGGTCAATATTGGTGTTCATGGAAAGTCATATTCAGAATATTTTGTCAATTTCATAATTATACCATATGGCTACTTATACCCTCAGCCATATGGCTACCGAAGATATATATCATTTAATACGGCCAAAACGTGTATCATAGACCCTAGGCCACTTTGCACCGAATCTGTTCCAGGACATTTGGAGTAGATCTAGCGATGTCCGTCCGTTGTCTGTCTCGTTGGTGCGCAAGATAACTCTCGAAGGGAGTATCCGATTTGGTCCAAAGCTAGTACATCGTAATATTATTATCAAACTTAGATCGAGTTCGGAGACGGGCGATATCGGTCAACTCCATCTGGTACCTCTCCCACAAAAGGTCGACATTCAAAACAATACTTTACTGCACAGAAAGAGAAAGAATAATACGATTTTGGTTCAACTTTGCAAATCCTAATATTTATACCAGTGCAAGTTCAGGTGCGTTAATGTACAATATCGGTCCACTCAATCAAGTATCTCCTCCTCAAAATTTTGAATAATTCTATCTATTATAAAATGTGACTGTCTTCAAATTACACACACAATCATATTTTTATTAACCCAAGGTGTGTGGTGTGAAAATTCTTCTTCTGGTACTCCCCCACAAAGAGTCAAAATGTTTAATATTCATGAATCTCATAAAAAGCGAAATTAACATCCGATTCCATTCAGACTTGACACATCTCAATATTTCCATCAACACAAGATCGGACTATTTCTTCTGGTACCTTCCTTCCTCACGTAAGGTTCAAGATTTTGAAAAACCAAACGCTCTCTTCAAATTTCACACAAATAAACATTTTGCTAACACAAGATATCTTGTGAAGATAATATATATCTGCGAATCCCTTCTGGCACCTCACCCAAAAAGGGTCACAATTTTCAATTCATTACAACTTGTTATACCTAAATATTTTTCTCTATCAGAGTCCATATGAATATGGACTTTTATCGGAATTAATGGTTTCGCATAAAATGGGATATAAATTTTCGATTAATTATTCATTTGAAAACAAATCAATCAGCATTTCTTTAAACATCATATGTCTAAATATGTCTGCCAACCTTACATATTCTGCCAATATAGAAGCCCACTCCTTTTCTATCGATCTTTATGATTTTGTTAGTTTTTGCGAACTTTTAGCGATAATTTAGAGATTTTGATACCACTCACGTAGGTGCCTTAATTTGACATAAGAATTCGAGTACAATTTTTTCAAGAAAAATGTTTTATTTTGAATTGCCAATTCTAAAATACATTCGTAAAGGTCAGAGACAGACCATTAAAAAAGCTAAGACTAATTTCTTTTAAGGTGGAAACGAATGAAGCCTTTCGATTGCCAAAGCTTTTCTCCACATCACTGGACGGTAATGGTGCAAATTGAAACAATTTAATGTTGTTATTTTGAACAAAACCATCACTTGTGTTATAAATATTTCAATCGGATTTTGAAGACCAGCTTGACGTTAAGACCTCTATCCTTTCTGAGAGATTTTATTATTTGTTTGTTTTTAGATAGTTGAAGTACATGTTTACGATCTCAAATATGTTATATTTAAATGGAAAAACATCTAAATACCAAGCTAGGTTCCAATCGGGTAAAAATCACAAGTAAAAATCCTATGTCTATCCTCATATTATGTAGCTGAGATTAGGGTCAATTTACTTTGTACTTACTTGTACATTGACAAGTCCAAAATCGCCGGGAAAACTGTTAGAAGGGCTTAAACAAATAATCTCCAATTTGAAACGATAAGACAAACGCGGTGAATCGCCAATATCTAAACTTGAATGACATCAGAATCAAATTAATGTTTCCTAAAGTGACAATTTTGCGACACATCTTTTTTTGGCATTTTCGCAAGCTCTCCTTCTTTTCTCATCCGTCTTAGGAAGAGCCACATCCATTCCACCCAACTCCATCCATTTTTGCCTTAAAATGGAATTTAAACTTCAAGTGGAAATATTAAAAGATATCTGACATTAGGAAACAAAATAGTGTCACAGCAAGGTGACCGACTAGAAGCAGTCAGTGCAAGACAAACAAAAAGTGAAGTTAAAGCAAAGAGACGTTAACACAAGCACTTCAGTGGCATCTTCCCCCTTCTCCCTTTCCTTCCAGACTCTATGTGCAACAAATTGAATCTCAGTCAGCCACTAGTCCACCACATAGCGCACCCTTGACGCTCCATGAATTTTCAACAGGGAAATGCGATTTCTTTTTTTTTTTAAGGCACACTTACATATCCACACACACACACATTCCTATCCTTGGAAGACTTGCTGTAGAAATCTTTGGTATTTCCAGATTTACTTTTTTCCCAACTCCCCAAGCACCACTTTATTCTGTAGAATACTAACACTACTCGACTACTTAAGTTGGGTAATGTTTGGCGATGCGACTCAGTCGAGTGGCAGGGTACAAAGGTCGGCAAGCAGCAAGGTAACCTTAGATGGATAATCCTCTAGAAGCTGCACAACTACGCAACGGCCAATGGGCAGGGAAGTCAAGAAACATTCACACACACAGACAAACACAACGAAACGTTTAATTTGATGTTTTGTCAAATTGCTTTTGTGGGAACCATCAAGTCGTAGGACAAGCAGCTCGGTGGACAAATTTAATCAAAAAGTGTCATATGATGATTTTGTGTGGCTCTCTTTTGCTTCAGTTCCTACGAAGAGGAGTTCGTAATGCAGCTAACGTTAAGATGATTGCCTGTGTTTTTCTCTTACAAGACAGCTATGCTCAGGAAAGTACCCGCTTCTACACAGAAATCCTATGGCGTTTGCACAAGTAAATGCTAATGTAATGCCTGAGTGTATCTGAATTACGGATTAGAAATGCAAGAGAATTTAACAAAAGTGAAGGAAGTGTCTAAAGATTATGGGGGACAAAGGCAATTTTGCTTAAGAGCACAGATGATAATTTAAATAGGATAAATTCGGATAACAACTCTGAAGATCGGATTGGATTCATGCAAAATCACCGGAGGACAGGCTAGTTAAAAAAAGTATTTATTAATTTTTAATATACGAATTGGAATTCAAAGGTCTACATAGACACGGTCCACAGTCCCCACAGAGTATATATATTCTTGATCAGCATAAAATTCTATGTCGATTTAGCGATGTCCGTCTGTGGAAATCACTCTAGCTTTCGAACGAATTGTAGTAGATTGACAAAATTTTACTCAAATGTATATTATGTCTGCAAGACTTTTGGTATTGAAAATGGCCCATGTAGGTCCACGTTTTGATATAGCCCCCATATAACGGTAAACCCCGATATTCGGTATTTTGATGATTTTAGCGACATTATTCAACGGAATTCTTTTAAATTTGGTATTTGAAGTTCGTAATGGATACTACAGCCTAAGACAGAAAATTTTCAGTGCAGGTCCACGTCTTCGTATAGCCCCCATATAACGGTACCTCCCGATATTCGGTATTTTGATGATTTTAGCTACGTTATTCACAGATTTTTTCAAGTTTCGCATTTGAATATTGTAATGGCTTATGACAAAAGTTACCTATACAGGTCCATGTCACCGTATAGACACTAATGTAACAGCTACATTCGGTTTTTTTTAAGATTTTAACAGAATTTTTAATGGATTTTATTGTTTTTAAAAATTGCCAAATTCGTTCCATATGGTGGAGGGTATTTAAAGTTCCGGCCGAACTTACAGCTTTTTTGCTTGTTTTTTTTTTTTTTTTTTAATATTTGGTGAGTTTTTTGATATCTGCCATATTTGCAGAAGATTAAAATTATTATATGAAAAAATTAAAATTTATTTCGAATTGATGAATTACAGAAGAAAAGACAAGAGATCTAAAGCTGGGAATAATTCCTTATAACTTCGGTACTCTCGCCAAAGTTTATTTGGTACGTACGAGTCACATTTGCGTTAATCACCCTCGTCCTTTTTTTTCTTGAACGCTGCCCCCATACAATACATTTATAACTCCAAGGTCTCGGATCTGTACTGCTTTGTGCCCTAAATCACCCTAATCATGACATTACTGCGATTAATGTAATTTACTATTTCATTGACTTTACTTCATATTCTAACGTGGACTGCTATTATATTTCAGTTATTGGTAAAGTTCCGCACCCCACACACACACGACGAAGACACAGTGGGGTATACATTGGCGCTGTAAATGGAAACGTACTCCCTATGTGACTGTACTTCTCCCAATCGTCACATTTTTGTGATGAAGGCGACTATAAAAAACCGAGCGTGGTAAATTTTTTGAAGTTGCCATAAATCCTTCCAAATTAGAGAATAATTAATCCAAAAGGGCTTACAAGTTTTAAATAGCGAATTTAATTCGGATATGTGATTATGTTCAAATGTGGAAGAGACTTATATGGAGTGATTCTTTTGCTGCACTTTAAAGTTGTTTAATAGTGATTTGATGCCCGTGAAAATACATTTTCAAATATAACAGGAAAGGCATAAACCACTTGCATTTTGTGTTTTTGCACAAGGGGTTAATTAAAAATACTTTTTTTTAATTATAATGATTTTAACACTTATTTTGATAAATCAAAAACAAATCTCCTAAATTAATTTTACAGGAAAAAGAGACAAAAAAATTAATACTCTCCACCTTTGGGCAAAGAAAATATTTTTTTATGAAAAATGTTGAATTCAGCGTGTTCCAGTTTAAATTTCATATACCAGGTGACCGTTTAGATAATGTTATATGGGGCCATACCAAAACGGGTGCCTATAGATCACTTTATATTACAAAAACTGTTATCTATTGCGAGTCTTAAATGCCAAATTTAAAAAAATCGTGGATAAATGTAACTAGGATAACATGGACCTAATGGCAACAATCATTAAAAAACCGAATATCGAGAGGTACTGTTAAATGGTGGCTATACGAAAATGTGGACCTATACATACAATGTTCCGCCGTCGGTGCTAGAACCCATTATGACCTAGCAATACCAATTTTAGAGAAATCCGTGAAAAATTGTGGCGAAAATCGTCCAAATACCGAATATCGGGAGGGAGGTACCGTGGCCTAACATATTTCATTGTCAATAACAACCAACCTAGGCAAAACACAAATTGTTGTGAAGAATTGCTCTACGTCAACTATTGTGGCCTATATGGTGATTTAAAATCGACTTAGAATATTAAGCTGATCATGAATATATACAGGGTGAGATGAAAATACTGCAACCAACTTCAGACTGCATTTCTAAGCCACTCGTCCGACACCTGTCAAATTTATTCAAGTGACAGCTCATTATATTGTTTACAAGCGTACAACACCATTTTGTTGAGAATTTTTCAGAAAAAAATTAATCGTAATGGTGTGATTTCTTTATATTTGGCTGGAAAACCCATCTGGCTATCGTTAGAGCACTCCAGCATTTAAATGCGAATAAATCTTCTGTGTCTCATATCATCGCTCGTACAAGAATTTACACCGCAACAGAAAGAAAATAGACTCAAAAGAGCAAACAGTTGATTCGCTTGGCCGAAAGTGGTGAACTGCCGAATTTGGTTTTCTCCGATGAGAAAATACCAAAACTCAAGCGCCGGCCATGGTGATAGAGTGGGCCGCCATATCATCCGATGGTCTCTCTCCGCTCATACTAATCGACAATGGCATCAGAATAAATGCCGATTATTATCGCGAAAATATTTGCACTAAAAAATACCAAAGGGTCGATCACCTCAAGCAAGCGCTTCGCCGAGAATGGGCCCAAATACCGCAGAGCACATGTTGAATTGCACAGAAACTATGATATCTGCGTTATTGAGGCGGGTCTCAAATGAAAGGTCTCCAAATGAAAGGTCTTTCTGAGCAAAAAATCGATTATCTGATATCATTTGGGAATATAAGGCGTACATATTCTGCGAGACCTTTCGTTGGAACCCCGCCCCAATAACGCAGCTATGGTAGTTTTTGTGCGATTCATTTTCCATGCAGTCTCCCCACTTTGGTTATTTGTCAACGTGGGGAAATTGTGTAATTTTCCGGTAAAATTAAGCTACGAGAATTGTTTTAATCTAAATACTTGTTGATTTACCAGAAAAGTAAAAATCATTAAAATTAAAAAAAAACATTTTTCAATTCACCCCTTATGCACCAACACAAAATGCAGAATGCAAATCAACACTGTCATAAGTTGTGAGTTTTTAAATTAGCCAGCTGTGCTGAACTAACTCTATAATTATTTGTATTTCAGACTCTATTGACTGTTGACTTAATGATTGAGGACTTATATACTCTTTCCATCATTCGGGAGGAATTCTATTCCATCACTAGAAAGGGGACAAAATCCCCCCGTATTTTTCAAAATCCAAAGCGCTATTGCTTTATACTGTCAGATGCTTTATCCTAGATTCACAAGGAGTTTACCTCGTCTCTAAAACTACTCGCTTCGAATAGCATCGCTACTGAAATAACAAATAAATACACAAACGTCATATAAAATAAACATAATGAGATTACAGCTGAAGCACCACTTACCGCATCTCCTCTCATCATGGCCGATGACTGTTGCCCGGACAGACCAGAGCCAGGTACTGCTTCATCTCTGAAGAAACAGATGGGACGTAATTCCGTAAATTTGAATAGAAACATTGTGACAACGACAATTCCAAGCATGACCCACAGGGTCGTCTTCTTATTACGATAAGGCAGGCGCATGATTATTTATTTTGTTTGTAGGTGTGGGTGTGTGTGTCTTGGGTCGGTGTATGTTGTTGGCGCGTGGTTGGCGTTTACTTTTCCGCAAGCCACAAATCAAAACTACACTCTGGTTAAGGTGGCCGGCCGGCGTTAACACTACGAACTACAACTATAACTAGGCTTTGTACATTTAGCTATGATAGCAACAACAACAATAACGATATCGCTTGAAATGGTAGCAACAGCATCAGCGGCGATGGCAACAACATGGATTATATGAAAGCGGCTAGGTCGTCACAATGTTGATAATGCAATAATTTTCAATGCTTTAATTCAATTTCAGATGCTGCGGATGGATGGTTGATGGTGATGCCCTTTTTCGGCATCGATTTAATGTTCGCAACACTAATGTTGTAATGTCAATAGAATACGTTCTTCAAGGACAAGCCACAACATGCCATACATCATTTACAAATTCCCTGAAGTCGTTTGCAGAACGGAGATTCACAACGCTTTACTAGCTTCATACAATTCTTGGGGGATTTAGGGAATGATTATGGCGTAAAATTGTTAATGGAAGTGGTGAAACAGAGTTCCTTACAGTTCCTGTGGTGTCTTGATGCGGTCGGGATTTCGAATAGTTTTTGTTGAGTTAATTTCCAATTTATTTCAGGGAATCTGAAGAGAGAGAGAGAAAAAAATTTTATTAAAGGTATATGGCTCAAAATAAAATATATTATTATTAGTTTTGTTTCAAATTTCAAGCAACACAGCTCAGTATTCAGGTATAATTAGATGAAAAACAAGACCTGCTGTTAACTTTTAAGAGGATCTGTTTAAAAAGACCTTCGTTCCCTTTAAATTGATTTGTAATGTGATGATGAGGTACTTTGGGGCTTCCAACAAGAAGGGTAAAATCACTAAAAATGCAGATTTATTAAAAATATATCATTCGTTATTTGGAATAACTATTTTTACATGATTGTTGAACACAACGCAATTCTACTTTACTAGAAACGCTTAGAGCCATTGTTTTATTTCCGTTTTACACAATATATAAGTTGAACAGTTTTTTACATTTTTAAAGAAAATTGAATTTTTTATTGTTTGAGGTGTAATAGATTTGTATCCAATATTACCCACCAAATAACAACAACAGATTAATAAATATAAGAGAGTTTTCTGTCTAAAGTATAGTCATGGTTTTCGACGAAAACAACATTTTTTTTCTTAAAATAAAAAAAATTCATTTAATAAAATTAAAAAATATTATATGAACATAAAAAAGGGAATATATTTTTTTTCAATTAACCGTTGTTTTTGAGAGTCTAACCACAAAAGGCGCTAAAGGGGGACTAAGTGGTTTTTTATTGCCAATTTGCAAAGTTGTTATCCACTAGGAAAATAAAATGTCAACTGTGTTTGTGACCTTCAAAATATCGAAATTAAGGAGATACTGTTTTGGGGGCTATATAAGATATTGATCCAAACTAGGCAATTTTTGGGTAGGGAGATTCTATCCGCTTGAAATGCGATATTATTCATCATATTCATTGATTCAAATTTATGATTGACACATTCAAAGTACCAAAAATCAGAAAAAAAACCCTAAATGGCCATCATTTTAAACATTGACAAATAATTCCCAATCTCAATTTCAAAGATCCTAGGGGTAATAACAATGTCAGAGCAAAATTTCGAATTGACAAAACGCTTCCATCGCGCAATGTTTGGTGCGGTTTATGAAGCATTATTCTCGTATTTACTATTTCCAAAAAAATAATGTATTTTTTAATAACTTTGGCACTCAACACTATCGGTAGTCTCACCCAATCGTGTATGACCTTATTAACTCATCGTGTTTATTGTTAAACGATTGCTGTTAAGGTTAGTATCACCAGTTTTTTAATACCTTTAAATTATTTAGAGTCACGCTTCACATCTAACTTTGGAACAGAAAAGACAATTACTTAAAGCAATAAAAATGTTGAGTGATAATCTTTACACGACCATTAAAAATATTAAAATTCTTATTTCGGAAAGAATGTTGAAAATTTGAAACTTTAGTTTCTTCGTTCCTCTCTACGCATTTTTCAAATTAAGAACCATCCACATTTCTCTCATACGGAAAATACTCGAAAAAAATACGTGCCTTTGACGCAAATTCGATAATCGTTTCCATTCGAGAAGACAAACCCCGTTTGCAGTTGACACCCAGCCCGATATATTTGGAGGAGGAACAGTTCAATTGCGTGGTTGCGATGTCGCGGCGGTAAACAAAAAAGCCTCCTTTCTGCCCCGCCATTCAAATAGGCCAAATAGAAAAATAGCAATTTTGTTCAAAATCGAATCATTGTGAAAATTCACTGAATCGGATATAACGGTAAACAAAACAAGACTATTGATTTCATATCGGTTACCATGGAGTGCATTCACAGCAGATACTCGTCGTCGCTGGGTTTGTGGCTGGGCCAAAAAGTGGGTGGCATAGAAAGGCTGTCACACACCAGTCCAACTATCCAATCTCCAATCACCACACCACCAACCAGGCTGTTTGCCTGTCTGTCTGTCTGACTGGCATGCGGCACACATATTTGTACTTAACTATATGAAAAGTTAGGAACTATTCCGAGTAAAGTTACGCTTCAATGGACACATGTTGCCCACACTTCTTTTCTTGTGCATGAGAGGGCCAGAGCTGTGATTCGCCGGCACCGGCCTGATCGAAGTTCATGAAGTTTGTCTGGGTGGTGCTGATAGTAGTAGTAGTTGCTGTTGTTGTTTGTGTTGGTATTCCATACAGAGTTTATTTACCTATGGTCGCAAAAATGTTGCAACTTAAATGCCCATTAAACTGTTGTAAACAAACATGGCATGTTTACCCTCGCCCGCCGGTCTGTCCCCATTCTTCGACACTCACACACAGACGCATAAATAGATTGTTCCAGGACTAGAATAATTTTATAAATCCCCTCATAACAACTGAAAGTTACTACTTTGGCCACAAGAAAGCTGCTGGTGTAAACGTTAGTTTTATAGGAAATCGATTTACGCAATCCATAAGATAACGACATGATACATGCTGAAGCACATGCTTTGGGTATGCAGGACACTGCAAATCCCATAACCAAAAAAGTAAATTTACTGATTATAATTTTAAATAATTAAAAATTTTGTTAGAATATGGAAAATGTTGAATGGGGAAGTGAGTCTGATGGGAAGGCTAAGCTTTTCAACATTTTTATAATCGAAAGATAGTTGGATTTTGTACGACCTTTTTCAGTTTTGAAAGAATGAAAAACTTTTCTTTTTATTTTATTTCGAATCATTTTCCAAATGTTAAGAAATGTACGGACATTCTGAAAAAAAAATGTCACGTCGAGGTCATATCAGAAATGACTTCAAGATCTATGAAAGCCCGCACAAGAGTTGTTCGGTGAGGCCAATCTCAGACTTTTTTAAACATCTGCTTTTCACTCTAAAAGATATTACAAAAACTTTCTAAACTACAAACGGAAAATTCTCAACAAGTCAGACAATTGTACGACTTCGTGGCTTATTTTTGTACTCCTCTAAAGAAGAAAATTTAAAATAAACTGTTAATAAGATAAAATGTTTTTACCACATTGTGAATGGAATGAACTGTGAATTTTCCATAAATTCCATAAAGAAAATGTATTTAATAAGAAACTCGAAGTGATATACAGGGTGAGATAAGAAACTGCCACAAAGTCAACTGCTGTAATTTTTACATTTTTTTTTAAATTGTATTGAATGAAAGCAAAAAATGTCGGAAATAGCATCAATAGCTTCAAACGGCCAATGAAACCGCCACACGCTGGCCGAATATTGTTCTGTGGTATTTTGGTCCATTCCCAGTGAAGTGCTTGCTTGAGTTTATCGACACTTTGGTATTTTTTAGTGCCAAGCTTGCTTTCCTAAATACTCCAGACACAATAGTCTAACGGATTGGTATCCGGGGATTTTAATGGCCATTGTGCGTTGGAAATGAAGCGCGTGCCGAGTGCGATGATGATGAGTTCTATTGGAATGTCCAAGGTCTGCGGCCAAAATGTTTGCGTGCCCAAGGTTTTTATACACCCTTCAGAATATTTTCGGGATAATATTCAGGATTTATTCTGATGTCATGGTCGATTAATACGTGCGGAGAGCGACCATCGGCTGTTATGGCGGCACACACCATCACCATGGCCGGTGCTTGAGTTCTGGTGGCCAACCGAAGTTACACATTTTCAGCTGACCTCCTTGGCAACCAAACACGATCATTTTGTTTGTTTACAAACTGCTGGACAACGAATGTTTTCTCATCGGAGTGAACCAAATTCGGCAGTTCACCACTTTCGGCCAAGCGAAGCAACTCTTTAGCTCTTTTGACTCTATTTTCTTTCTGTTGCGGTGTAAATTCTAGCACTTTCTGCAATTTTAATGGCTCATTTTTCAATATTTGCCGAATGGAATATTGCGATATGTTCAGTCCACAAACCATTTTTCGGCCACTGCGACGCGGGTTTCGATCAAGTCGCTTCTTTACTTTTCGTACCATTTCTGCTGATGTTGCTGTTTTCCTCCGTCCACTTCCTTGACGACGGGCCATTACCATAATCACGGTAACGAGCGATGGTACGAGACACAAAAGATTTATTCACATTTAAATGCTGCTAAACGATAGCCACTTGTGGTTTTCCAGCCAAATATAAAGAAATAACACTATCACGCTTGAATTCTATCACGAAGAACTTTTTTCTGGAAAATTTTTACCAAAATGCTTTTGTACGCTTGTAAACAATATATGAGGTTTCAATGGAATAATATTGATAGCTGTAGGACGAGTGGCGTAGAAATGACTGAAGTTGGTTGCAGTTTTTTCATCTCACCCTGTTATAGTTACATAGTAGACCTAGAAAAGAGCATAATGGAGTTCATTATCTAACCTTTCTAGCTTAAAAGAAATGTAAAATTTTCGTAAAATTTTGTTTCAGTTTGAATCGATTTAATATCATTGGGGCTATAAGGGGGTTAAGCCAAAACACGGTTCAAATTAAGGCCTTCTTTAGCTTTACCAGTTGAGCTGAAAAGATAATATCTAGAAAAAAAACTGGAAAATGCTATAAATACTTTTTTTTACAAAAGTAATACTTTATTTCTTATAGAGAATGATCTGTCTGCGTGATTTACTACTTGTTTTTCGAAAAAGAATATCGAGTCCCTCTGCCTTCATAATGGCAATACTCATCCTTACTTACTTATCACTGCCTAACCAAGAAATTGCATGGTTTTTATAACTAATAACACTCAAAATAAGGCTTGGCAGCGAATGGGTTAAAAGACTTGCAAGCCGAATTTTCGATCATATTTCTTTTAAAAATTTAAAACTTTTTTTGTTATTTTATAGAGTCTGCAAACAATCACTGATGTTTATTACAAACTTCTTTAATTTCTCCCATTTTCGACTTGCCTCGATTTGGGTCCCACTTGAATGAGTCCTTTACCGTCTGAGAAGCAAGGCATTTGATGTGCTTCCTCTTCTTTACAATTCTAAAATGTCTTAATGAGTTGAAGTTGTGTTTTCTTCTCGTTTGCATAACTTAATTTAGATTTTGAATTTTCACGACTAAACTGATTAACATTTAATTTTATTTATTTATTTAAAGATTCAT